CACTTGTTCTCTCCGACGGGCTCAAGCTCTTGGGCGTGATCCTGGACGTGAAGTTGTCATGAAAATCAAATATTGAGGAACGAGAAAAGAAGGCATCGGCTCTCTACTTCTGCAAGAATGCCTTGGGTAAGGGATGATGCACTGGCTATATATGTTAAGAAGCTAGAGCGCGTGAAAAGGGCGGCGCTAGTTGAAATAAGCGGGGCGCCCCGGACCACTCCTACTCTAGCGCTAAATGCTTTACTCAATATCGCACCTGTGGGCAAAGTAGCGGCGGTTCGCTCAGCCATTAAGCTCAAAAGCACAGGCACTCGACAATTCTCGGAAGCTTCGACTTCCTGCCGAAGGAAATGGACCGGAGTCACCCGAAACTGGCCCCAAAAGTATCCTTCTCCACGCATATCCCTCCAAGGGACGAATGGTAGAAGGGTAGTCTCTGCAGAAGAGGTTCAGTAAACATCTTCGCAGATGGATCGAAGCTGGAAGGTAGAATTGGAGGAGGTGTCTACTATCAGGAACTCTCAGTATATTTTAAGGTCAGACTACCGGATCTCTCCAGCGTTTTGCAGGCCGAGGTGGTCCCTATAAAAGAGCAGCCGATTGGCTATGCATCAATGAATTGTCGACAAGGAGGGTAAATAAATACACTGATTTCCAGAAGGAAATCAGGGCGCTGGGATCGCTAATGGTGTGTTCAAAATTGGTCGGGGAATGCCAGACCTCTCTGGAATACTTCCAAATCAAGCTGATTTGGGTGTCAGGGCACAGTGATATCACAGGAAATTGCAGAGCTGATGAACTCGCTAGGCAGGGCACCCTCGAGGCCATCACTTCGGACAGGGAGGGAATTGGAGTTCCGTTGGCAACCTGCGGTCTGCTTTTGCACAGATGGGCCTACAGTCGGCTCAGCGAGCGCTGGGAAAAAACCCCGACCTGCAAAATTTTAAGATTCTTCTGGCTAGTTGTGGACCGCAGGAGGGGCTACAGCCCCTACGGTATACGAGGAGAAACCGCCTCGTTCTACAAATTCCACCTCCACAGATCCTTAACTTATAGTCGTTCTGGGGTTAAGAGCGCGTCGAAGCCGACGCACTTAAATGCTTCTGGGGTCAGGTGCTGTCGCCAACGGGAAGGCAGGAGTGCCGGAACCGGGCTCCATGGGGGTCTCTAGGCAAGGGGCCGGATTGAGCGAGCGAGTTAGGGGGGAGGTGGGGCTGGACGGAATCGCCAGCACCAACGCTGGCTCCTCACCCAGTCTTCCGGGTCTGTCCTCGAAGGCTCTCCACAAGAAGCCTTCGAGATTGCCTAAACGGCAGGTATCGTCGGCCGAAAGGCTTACTCCGACAGGCGCATGGCTACCAAGATTTTGGGGCGTTATGACGGTCAGGTCAGATAACTGAGAAACATTCAAAAATGCTCGAGTGAGCCAAAGGGGCGCTGTGTGGCCAGGAGGAGAGGGCTAAGAACTCGACGAAAGGAGACGCGAGTGCGTATCCTGCAGGTTCTAAGAGACAAAGGTCTTAGGAGGGAGAAAGCTCCGGCGCAAAAAGATACGGGAATGGGGGTGCGACTGCTCTGGTGGCAGGTAATTAACCTGGCGGTCCTCGATCGAAGCAGTTGACTAAGCGCCACCTCTCGATTCTCACAGGTGTACTGACCGGACATATTCCTATGGGAACCTACGCGGAACGACTCAAGATCGTCACGGATCCCTAGGTGGAATCGTCTCAGCACTTCCTACTCAATTGCCCTGCATTCGCTAGATTAAGGTTTAAGCACTTCGGTGTGCATCTCATCAACGCTCCCGAGGGACTCTCCGGAGTGGACATCAGCTGTTTGCGGAACTTTGTTGTGGGCACCAGTTCAAATTAATTTTAATGTAATGTGGTATCACAATGGACAGTTAAATGTCTAAGTGAGTCCCCTTCGCGGGCCTGCCACCTTAACCTAACCTAATCTACAACGCGACGTCGGAAAATGTAATTAGCTTCTTTAGTACAGAGGGTTTTCCAGCTTTCGGGGTCCCTCAATTCGTCCATAGTGATAACCGGAAGCAATTCATTTCGAATAAGATGCAACCGTTTTTTGAAAACTAAGGAGTTTTTCACTTTAAGACGGGGTTATACTCACCGCAAGCTAACGCCTCTGAACGAGTGCACATAGAGATTCTTTCGAAGGTTATAGTCTTTATGAAAGACAAACAGGATCACATGGACTGGACACATTCCCAAAATTCTGTCGGTTTAAAGAAGCGATTACCATACGTCCATTCAGAGCTAGCCATATTTCGCTCTATTCGGACAAAATATGATACAACATGCGTCAGCCTATAACATCCTGGAGAAACTTTGCAATTTTAAGCAAGGCATAAATGCTAAGTTCTTGTCAAAATGCATCAAGTGTCGTGTACTGCGAAAGGTAGGCAATGCTTTGTACGACTTAGAGGACTTGAATGGCAAACCGATCGGTAGGTTCTGCCGTGACAATGCCTGAGTGTCTTCTTTTCTCTTAATGTCTTTTCACTGTGTTACGTGACCACGGGCCAGGATGAGTTAGAAACGCTGGTTGTTGTGTCCCACAGCTGAGGCGTGTGCACTGGCTCGTTCCCGGAGCTTCAGTTTCGTGAGATCATTTCAACAGTTGTGGAACCCAGCCGCTTTCTCGCTAGCCTAAAGTCCCTACAAGATAATATTATTGTTTGCACACTAGCTATTAAAAGGAAAATATCAACCAATCTCAACCTCTGATTTAAAAAATCGATAAGCGTCCCACGGATCCTATACCCAGCAGCGCGTGAACGGGTGTCGGCTGCTCTGTACCCACCCTACCTTGGCTTCTATGATGGTACAGAAGCCCCATTGGACCACCTAGCTGAGCTTACTGATAAACAAAAAATTTTCAGGTAAAAGTGTCACCGTTTTTGAAATATTTACATTTTTTCGAATTTAAAAAAAATCGTGCCTTTTCATGTGTTTTCTTTAACTGCAACTACAAACCGGGCAATACTTAGTAAATTTTTTATGTAAAATACTACCAGATAGTTGCCTCTCCATACTCAAATGCAATGTAGTTAAAATATATTAAGGAACCATCATAAAATTAGGACTATTTCTGGATTTTTAACTTTTTGATATTTTCTTCCCCAACTTTGACTATCTCGGGTGAAAAAAAAATGTACTGAGCTATAACTTTACATTACATAAAAAAATTGCTCATTTAATAAAGATTTCAGAAAGGTGCCACACTTACTGTTTTGAATAGAAAAAAAAAAAGTTATAGCCGCTTTTGTGGGTAAAGGACTGAGACACGCTAGAATGTATTTAATAGATTTAAATTGAATTTGCTCTTGTTACCGTCAAATGACATGCTAAATAGTACAAAGGTACATTATTACCTGCTCCTGACATTATTTTGTGTTACTTACCGGAATTCGGACTAGAGTCTATAACAAGGGCTATATCTATCAATATTTTGTGTGAAGGATGGGTTCACGTGAAATAAGATATACATGAGTTGTTTGAAGAATCTACCTACACACTTGTGTTCACATGTAATAAATCGATTATAAAAAAAAAGACAAATTGCAAAAACGTATATAAACAAAATTAACTCCCTTTGATCGCAATCCCACGAAGCGAAGAGGCCTCCTTGCTTTGTTGTTGATGCTGCAGAAAAATTATGTTGCCTTTGCAGGTTCTTATTGTTTTGTCACTTCATAAACTCGTTTATGAAAAAATAATAAGTGAAAAACTATAAACAAAAAAAAAAAANGCTGAGCTTACTGATAAACAAAAAATTTTCAGGTAAAAGTGTCACCGTTTTTGAAATATTTACATTTTTTTGAATTTAAAAAAAATCGTGCCTTTTCATGTGTTTTCTTTAACTGCAACTACAAACCGGGCAATACTTAGTAAATTTTTTATGTAAAATACTTCCAGATAGTTGCCTCTCCATACTCAAATGCAATGTAGTTAAAATATATTAAGGAACCATCATAAAATTAGGACTATTTCTGGATTTTTAACTTTTTGATATTTTCTTCCCCAACTTTGACTATCTCGGGTGAAAAAAAAATGTACTGAGCTATAACTTTACATTACATAAAAAAATTGCTCATTTAATAAAGATTTCAGAAAGGTGCCACACTTACTGTTTTGAATAGAAAAAAAAAGTTATAGCCGCTTTTGTGGGTAAAGGACTGAGACACGCTAGAATGTATTTAATAGATTTAAATTGAATTTGCTCTTGTTACCGTCAAATGACATGCTAAATAGTACAAAGGTACATTGCTCCTGACATTATTTTGTGTTACTTACCGGAATTCGGACTAAAGTCTATAACAAGGGCTATATCTATCAATATTTTGTGTGAAGGATGGGTTCACGTGAAATAAGATATACATGAGTTGTTTGAAGAATCTACCTACACACTTGTGTTCACATGTAATAAATCGATTATAAAAAAAAAGACAAATTGCAAAAACGTATATAAACAAAATTAACTCCCTTTGATCGCAATCCCACGAAGCGAAGAGGCCTCCTTGCTTTGTTGTTGATGCTGCAGAAAAATTATGTTGCCTTTGCAGGTTCTTATTGTTTTGTCACTTCATAAACTCGTTTATGAAAAAATAATAAGTGAAAAACTATAAACAAAAAAAAAAAATAAAAATTTAATCGTAGATCAGCCAGCAAACTAAGGTTGCGCTATTGTGTGGTCGAACACTGTATACGTGTATATTTGCGAGAGCGAAAGCCGACAAAACGGCTGGAGTTTTAACATGCTCTCACGCAAAGAAAATATGAATAAAGCAAAAGCTAAAAAGGAAAAACAAACTGGGCAGTCATATACATGCATATGTTACATTCTCTGAAATGTCATTAATATTGAAGAGTGTATATTAAGAATTATACATATGTATGAGCAAATTTAAACTGAGATACTATGGTTGAGTTAGGTTAGGTGACCATGTGGACTCACCACATGGTACCTATGAATATGATCTTCTTTAATAGCTAACACGATTATGTACGTACATATGTACATACATAAGTGTGTACAGCTTTCTAAAGTATGTAAAACGAACGTAAATATAAGAGGTAAGTAGAAATTTGGAACTAAAAGCAAGTGGTTGAAATCAATGTAGTTATTTCACTATTTAAAAAGCATATTAACTTTATAACATATGGATTTAAGGTAAGTAAAAGGTAAGTATTTAAAAGGTATGTACATAATTATTAATTTCTTAATTGGCTAGAAAATCGCTGTCACAAGAGACCGAAACGGAAGCTTTAAAGAGTTTAATGTTGGGGCAGATTTGTCCCCTGTTTATACATAACTTAAACCTGACCGCTGTGGTGTAGTGGTAAGCAGTGCGCGCTTTCACTCATCAGCACCTGGGTTCAAGCCCTGGTCAAAGCAACATCGCAAATAATATAGAAAAAGGTTTTTTCTTAACAGCGGTCGTCCCTCGGCAGGCAATGGCACACCTCCGAGTGTATTTCTGCCATGAAAAACAGTTTCTCATAAAAATACAATCGCCGTTCGGAGTCGGCGTAAAACTGTAGGTCCCTCCGCTTTGTGTGGCAACATCAAGGCGCACACCACAAGTCGGAGGAGAAGCTCGGCCAAACACTAACATATGTGTAAGCGCCAATCTATTATTATTATTATAAACCTGACTTATTGCAATTTATCATATAGCGACCTAGGAAAACGTATGCCTGGCTATAAGTACCCAAAAGTTGGGTGCAGGCTTATGTACGTGCTTATGTACAAAATTTGATATTCGCTAAAAACTACTCCTATTACAGCCACACTATTTTCCCGCGGATCGCTGATGTAGGTTGATTGTTGTTCGAAAAGGAATCCGAGTAGTGCTGGTTTCATGGGCGTAGACAGGTAGGGGCAGGGGGGCCGGGCCCTTCCCCCCCTAACTTCCAAATTTTTGCCAAGATATTCAAAAATAGTACCACTAAATGCTGGCTTGATAATTTCGGCCCCCTAACTTTCAAGATTTTTCCTATATATATACTGAATAACAAATTATACTCCCAACGCTAACAAAATAATTAGTAAATTGATTTAAAAAGTGTATATGTGGATCATCCGGTTCTGTATCAAGTTATTCTCTCTAACTTCAAAGCACTTCCATTTAAAAAGGGTAAAAACATGGCTGCAGTCGACAATGAGCAAAAATAGTTCAATTGTTTATTACCTTGTCTTTAGGTTTGTGTCTTCTAATCGTACAACGAAAGCTTTGTATCACAGAACCAATCTGAGATTAAATAAAAGAATAGACCGGTTGGGTGAACAGCGAAGACGTTTACTTCTTAAGTGTGACATAACAAAATCAAGTAATACATATATTTAGCATAAATGAATATACCAGCATAAAAAATCTGCATACTCAAATTGTTCAATACGTCCCCATATTTATACATACCTATGTATATATTGTAAGAGAAGATATTTCGCTGCAAAGCAATGATTATAAATTATTAGTTTACCTTACAAAATTGCGGAGGAATATTACAGAGTATACGGAAAAAAGTTTATTTTTTTACATTTTTTATTTTGAATAACGTCTGGTTTACAGGTATGTAGAGCTATGAATTTAAAAAATACATCAGGGTTTAGTTGAGATATTCGCTTTTGACCACTATGTTTTGTACATTTCCCAGTACTGCAAAGCTGCCATTCAACTGGGAGTGGCCCGCGTGCGCTGGGTTTGGGTCCCGCCACGTTAAAACCCTGCCCAATGAAAAAAACACATGCCTCGGATGATACCCCTTTCTTTTGATGACGATCACGGCAAACATAGGAAGTGAATAATTCGCTCGCTTGGTCCCTTCGCACTCACCTCACTACACTTTAATTTCCGTTTGAAGGAAAAGACTTCAGTTTTAAATTTTAAATTTACAAAGTTCCCCTGAGTTTATTTATGAGTTTTTTTTAGCCATTAAAGTTTATGTTTTCACTCACGACGATGGGGAGGCAGCCGTGCGCGCTCGGTAATTATATTTTCGGAGTTGACGTCGGTCAACTGCCAAACTGCTGCGGCCAAGGATTGTGCGCACGGCCGTCGTATTTCTCTTTAAGCGGCGACTTAAACATTCTCCCCGCCCTGCAGGAATGCGATGCTCAGGGTCTTGTGCAGCTCTTTTAGCGCGCGGATGGTGTTGCCCAGGACGCGGTTGGTGCTGCGGCCCTGGTAGCTGGCCGTTTGCAGGCCTTGGGGGGGGCGCGCGATGGTCATTTGGGCGGTCTTTTTGCGCGGTTGTTGCGGCGCCTGCCTTCCGCTGTCTTGCGCATTCTTCTGCGCCTTCTGCTGTGCGGTCTTCAGCGCCTTCCTCTTCGGTGGTTGCTCCTTGGGGCCTTAGTGGTCGGTTTTTGTTGCTTGGGCCCTTGTTCCCTTGGCCCCTGCGCGCATGGGTGTTGGCTGCCACATGCAACAGCGTGTGGTGCGCTAGCACGCAGGTCTTGCAACTGCCTGGTGAGTCGCATTCCCCGGTAGTGTGGGTAAGCGCGAGGCAGTTGCCGCAGTAGCCCTGCGCGCGGGCCACTCCCAACTGATGCAGCGGCTTCATTGCCTTGAAGGCCGGGCACGTCCTCAAGGCGTGGTACCGGTGGCAGAGCCGGCATTGTAGGCAGTTATCCGTCTCCGCCGTTGGAGCCAGGGGGCATGCCTTCCGCGATGCCATGATGTCTTCAATCTGGAAGTAGAAGCAAAGGCAGAGAAACGAGAAGTACTTGGGTACAATATTTAAGCGGGAAGTTAAGACCCTTAATATACAGAAGGAAAATATTTATAGAATTATTTATTGTGCTTTTGGAAGGAAGCATAGTTCGACAAGTGGCCGCGTGATAACTCCATTTATTTTATTTATTTATTTTTATTTTATTTTATTTTCAGTTATGGAATACATAGTTATTACTAACTATGCCTTAATAATAAGCTCATACAAGATTAACGACTAAGATTGAATTTTATTGTGTTTCTTAACACCACTCGAGGAAGCGAGAGATCTATTTCTTTAAATTCATTAAGCTCGCTCAATGTTCGCGCAATTGGTGAATTGTGAGCATAGTTGGAGCTGTAGGGCTGGACATAAAACATGTCAAAATTCCTGAGACTTCGAACAGGAATATTGAAACATATTCTACTTAAAATTTCCGCACAGTCAATAGTACCTACAAAGACATTGATGACAAAGGAACATGATAACGATTTTCTCCTACTCTGGAGTAAATCTAAATTGATAAGAAGACAACGAGAGTTATATGAAGGAAGAGGCTCTTCAAATTCAGCGACATCAAAGCAAACTTAATAAAATCTTTTTGTATCCGCTCAATTCTATTGATATAAGTGATTTGAAAGGGCCGCCATATAAAGGAGGCGTATTCTAGACGAGATCTAACAAAAGCTATATACAGCCTCTTGAGTGTATAGGGATCAGAAAAGTAGGAACTGTTTCGGCGTACAAAAGCAAGCATAGCGTAACTATTGGCCACTATATAATTTATATGATCGGTAAATAGGAACTTATTGTCAAAGAACACTTCTAGGTCTTTAACTTGAGTAACTGACTCTAGTTTTGTGCCAGAAATGTAATAACACGACTTTATGGTGTTCCACTTTTTGAAAAAACTATTTGATAACATTTTTTAACATTTAAATATAGCCGATTACGCATACACCAAGAGTGCACTCTATCAATATCAGATTGAAGTAGGGCCGAGTCCTCAGCTTTCGAAATAGTAGAATAGATTTTGAAATCATCCACGTAAAGCAGGAATTTAGAGTGTAAAAAGCAAGTACTTATGTCATTTATGAAGATAACGAAAAGAAGCGGTCCTAAAATACTTCCTTCCGGAACTCCTGACGTTACATGAAATGGCCGAGAAGTGATGTTATTAAGAACGACTTTACTACTCCTACCAGAAAGGTAAGACCCAATCCATTTGAGAAAAGTGGAATGAAACCCTAAAGCTGCTAATTTGCTAAGTAAAATTCTGTGAGAAACCCTGACGAATGCTTTCGCGAAGTCCGTATAAACGATGTCCACCTGGAGTGCGGCCTCAAAGCTAGCGAGACAGTCCTCAGCAAAATTGGCGAGGTTAGATACAGTAGATCTTCCTTTCACAAAACTATGCTGAGACGAGGAAATTAGACTCGAAATAGCAAAATCTAGCTTAACTTTAACAACACACTCAAATAGTTTAGCAATCGTTGTCAACTACGTTATCGGCCTATAATTAGAAACATTCTTATTTCCACTTTTGAGGATTGGTGTAATACGAGTTTTTTTCCAATCTTGAAGATATATCCCTGTTGAAAGTGATTTATTAAAAATAAGCGTCAGCGGTTTTATAAGAGCACAACAGTTTTTTAAGAGACAGGGTGATAAGCCATCAGCATCGGTTTGTGTGGAGGCCTTGAGTACTGCGATTGCCTTTTGAACATCACACTCAGAGACACACAAACTACTAAAGCACAATGGAGAATCCAATAAATGGGCACTATTTAGGCCGTCATCAAGTTCAGCCACAAAGTTGGCACTGAAAAATTCAGCGATAAGATTAACTATCCCATCGGGAGAAGAGACATGCTTTTCCTTAAAAAACATTGAGGACGGTATGTTCGATTTTGAGTTTTTAGATTTAACAAAATTCCAAAAGGCTTCGGGGTTACAGTTTATATTATGCTCAACATTACGTATGTATCTACTGTGAAGGGTTTTATCAAGACTCCTAAATTCGGCTAAATGGCGTTTTTACGAGTTAAGATATTCATCACTATTGCAGACCTTATATTTTTTATAGGCCTTATTGTAGCGATTTTTTAAGTGCTTAAGCTCCTTAGTGAACCAGGGCAGCTTGGACTTTCTGTTAGGCAAAATAGGTATATATTGTAGACACATGCCGATCACTTCAGATTTAAATAATTGAAAACACTCAGAGACATCTAAGTTATCAAACATGGAGATCCAGTCAAACTCAAGAAGCAGTTGAT